TTTTTTTTTTTTTTATGATGGAGTCTCACTCTGTCATCCAGGCTGGAGTGCAGTGGCATGATCTCAGCTCATGGCAGCCTTTGCCTCCCGGGTTCAAGCAATTCTCCTGCCTCAGTCTCCCGAGTAGCTGGGACTATAGGCATGTGCCACCACACCTGGCTAATTTTTTATTTTTAGTAGAGACAGGGTTTCACCATGTTGGCCAGGCTAGTCTCGAACTCCTGACTTCAGGTGATCTGCCTCGGCCTCCCAAAGTGCTGGGATTACAGGCATGAGCCACTGCGCCCGGCCTCAGGTATTTCTTTATTGCAGTGGGAGAACAGACTAGTATATCCTACCTTCTAAGAGTCTACTAAGAAAAAATCCACTATGCTTCAGGTCCTGCTTCCTCTAATTATGACCAGAAGTTGCAGCCTCAAGCCTCTCTGGTCATCAATCATTGTGCAAACTTTCACTCCCATAATGCTATGGATATCCCCTTAAGCTGACCCTGGTACCCATGCCTTCTCTCCTCAAAATTTACCACTGGGCCACAACACCCACTAGATGATGCCTCTTGTATTCACATCCTCCTCTCTGTAAGTCCCTCTTCCTCCTTAAGTACTTAAACCTTGACTCTGCTTGGGGACATCAAGTTTCCTGTCACCTTTCAAGCAGCAATCATTTTCTCTTTCACATGTCACCTACTTCAGTCACAGTCTTCCCTTCCATTTCAACTCTGAGCACTATGAATTAACTCAGCAGATACAGGACCCCAGCAACATGTAAGGCATTGTGGCAAAAGAGGGGAGTCCTAAGTGACAAAGCAGACAGAAATCTCTAATTGGGGAGCTTAAATTCAAGTGGAAACACAGACAAACGTATCAATTTATTTATTTATTTATTTATATTAATTTTTTGAAGATGGGGGTCCTGCTATGTTCCCCAGGCTGGTCTCAAACTCCTGGGCTCAAGGTATCCCTCCTGCCTCAGCCCCTTGAGTAGCTGGGACTACAGGCATGCACCACTGTGCTTGGCTTTATATCATTTTAAATTGTGCTAAGAGGTATGAAAGATAAAGCAGGAAGCTTTATTTTGTGTGGAGGTGGAATCTTAAGTAAGATAGAATGATCGGGGACATTTTAAGTGGAGGTGTGAAGGACAGGGAGTCAGCCAAATAAAGGGTGAGGTGGTGAAGAACATTTCAGACCAAGGGGAAAATAGGGCCTCTCCAAAGACCTTTTTTCTCCTGCCTCCTCAGCCGCTCGTTCTAAAAATCTTGTCCCCAGCAGAACATGAACACTTCTCAGATCTCTGATTGCAACCCACCAGGACAACTTGCTTTCCTTATGACTCACTCACTTCCATCTCATCCAGAACTCCAAGACCCATGTTCTCATCCAGGCCCATGTTCTCCATTGAGGCTCTCTTCTCACCATCTTCACTTCACTAACTAATGTATAACCTTCGTTTCTCTCCTTATTCAATTATAATCGCCCTCATACATGTAACGTTCAATCCCTTGACTCTCCCTCCTTCCTTCAAATTCCCCTGGCAAAAATTCCAAGCACTCTGCCTTTTCTGAGATCATAACTATACCAGTGAGAATTGCTGGTCACCCCAACCCCCAAACAGATTGGAAACACTATACATTTATGATAACTAAGTTTACATGAGTCTTATATACTCCAAAGCAGTGCATGATTCTCTATTAGTTTCTTCCTCCACTCTCTCTAATGACAATTTAATATTGTCTCTATCTTCAACATTTCTGCCCCACTCCTAACCTTGGCTTTCATGATACCCTACTATAATGGCTTTCCCTCCTATCTTTCTGATTATTCTTTCTTAGGTTATTTTGCTATCTCCTCTTCTGATCTACAGGTTGGATATCTTCAATATTCAGACATGGGGTATTTGTTCTCATTGCTCTACATTCTTCCCAGGTGATCTCACTCATTCCCATGACTCTAAATACCATTTGTATGCTAATAATTCCCAAATTTCTGTCTTACCCAGACCATCACAGTAATTTGAAGACCACCATCCTAATTTGAATCACCATCATCTGCTGGTATTACTATAATCCCCCTAAGTGATTTCCCTACTAATAGTACAATCTCTGTATAGTAGCCAGAGTGGTCTTTTTGAGGTACAAATCATGTTATTCCCTTACTAATCCCTCCAACAATTTCCACCACTCTCAGAACAAAATCCTAAAACATGTCAAGTTTCCTGTAGCTGCTGTAACAAATTACCACAAACCTGGAGGCATAAAACAACAGAAATTTATTATCTCACAGTTCCGGAAACCAGAAGCCTGAAATCACGGTGTTGACCGGGCCACACTCTCTCCAAAGGCTCTAGGGGATATCTCATTCCCTCCCTCTCTCAGCTCCTGGTGTCTCTAGGCACTCATTGGCTTGTTGCTGTGTCACTCCAATCTCTGCCTCTGGCTTCACATGGCCTCCTCTTATCTCCTCAGTATGTTTTTTACAAGGACACGTCACTGGATTTAGGGCCCACACAGATAATTCAGGATGATCTCATAATCATTAAGATCCTTTGCAGACTTACATCTACAAAGACTTTTTCCCCCCCAAATAAGGTCACATCACAGGTTCCAAGGACTACGACATGGACACATCTTTTGGAGGGCCATCATTTAAACCCACTATAGCTTCAAGGCCCTGCCGAAGCTGTCTCTGCCTCCCCCTGCAGCTTCATCTCTCTGTGTTTACCAGGTTCTACCCATTCTGGCATTCTTATACTTTCTTGATCTAGGACAGCTCTTTCCCAGCCTTGGTCTTTGCCTATGCTATTCTCCTTCTAGTCTTTACCTAGCTAACTTCTCCTCTGGTCTTCAGTTAAATCTAACTTTCACAGGGAAGTATTCCTTGACCCCATAAATTTAAGGATGTCTCCACTGTTATTCTCCCTTTAAAAAGCACTCTATGGCTGGGTGCAGTGGCTCACACCTGTAATCCCAGCACTTTGGGAGACTGAGGTAGGTGGATCACTTGAGGTCAGGAGTTCGAGACCAGCCTGGTCAACATGGTGAAACCCCATTTCTACTAAAAACACAAAAATTAGCTGGGCATTGTGGCATGCACCTGTAGTCCCAGCTACTTGGGAGGCTGAGGCACGAGAATCGCTTGAACTTGGGAGACGGAGGTTGATGTGAGCCGAGATCATGCCACTGCACTCCAGCCTAGGCGACAGAGTGAGACTTGGTCTCAAAAAAAAAAAAAAACAAAAACAAAACAGGAACATACTATTCCTTTCCTTCACAGCTTTGACTACTTTCCTTTGTTGCATCAAGTTGTACTGACAAATGGATTTGTGTTTACTTGTTAATATTTGTCTCCACCACTGGACCATGAACTCTTCATATCATCTCATGAAGCACATCTGCTTTCTTCCCCTCTTTATGTAAACCCAGAGCATAAAATGGCATCTGGCATACAGTAGCTTTAACTAAATAAGGGAGTAGTAAATAAATAGACTGCCTCCTCTTCCCCTTTTGAACAGGATTAGATAAATGCAAATAGACAGATTAGAATGGTGACCAGACACCCAAAGACACTGCTGGCCTGCAGTAGATATCACCCCTAGCCCAGCCTGGAAGATTGATAAAGCTTGGCACAAATGAAAAATTATTAAGTTAGAAGGACTTCTCTAATTTTCTTTTCTTTTCTTTTTTTTTTAACATGACACAGCCTCAGGAGGTCCTGAAGACATGTGCCCTCTAATTTTCATTTCTGCTGTGGACAACTATACAACTCAGGAACTTGTTTCACCTTTTACAGTAATCTCCACCTCCTGTCCAAAAGGATTTATTGAAGTTTCTCTGAAATTTTAGGAAAAACTCCCAAATAAACTTATTTCCAAGCCCCACCTAACACTAAGCAGACTGATTCATTCATATATATAACTTTCTTAATTCTGCAAATTACAAAATGATTCAAGTATTATTAAATACTAAATCCTACTAGCCTGTTCTAAAGTCTAGCGTGCACAGAGGCATGCAAAGAGGTCTAGCATGCAAAGAGAAATCTTTTCTGAGACATCCGAAATTCTCCAGCCTGCTTTTTTACCTGAGGTATTTTTTAAAAACTGAGATATTATTTAAATACCATAAAATTTAGCCTTTTAAAGTACACCAGTGTTTTGCCCAATGTTTGCACTTTTATCAGTAATTCCAGAACATTCTCATAATCCCCTACCCCCTGCCACCTGCCAAAAATTCATCTCTGTTAGCATTCTCTATTCCTCCCTTTCCCAGACCCCGGCAAACACTAACGTACTGTCTCTATGGATTTTCCAGTCTTTTTTGTACTTGTGAACCTGAAACACAGAGAGATAAAAGTGATTTATACAGAGCTGCAAGTCACTTAGTAAGAGAGTAAGGTTAGAATACAAGTATTTGCAGGAACTTTTAAGTGTATAAAAATTAGTGAAAATATGTTTAGGTCACCTATATATATGCTAAATGCAGCTATAAGACCATCTGATGTTACAGTCCTTACAATAGTCATTCTCAGGCAGTGTGTCTGGCCAGGGAGAGACAGGGGTATAGGGATTTAGGAATCACTAAAGAGGAAGAGACATGCCACTGGTGGAAGGGAATTGCATTTATGGACCAGGGAAATATAAGGATTTGTGGCTTAAAGGACAGACATTTTTCTTTTCCACCCAGAGTAGTGAAGTTGGTGCTAATATGTCCAGGTGCCCATTGCTTCCTTTTATAGTGGCCCAAGTGGGCCCCAGAGATCCCTGATCATTTCTAGTTTGCTCATGAGTAGTTAATAAAATAATAGTACTAACACCCCTTCAGAATACTTGCTGATTAACTACACGTTGTAAAATAATATGGGAATTTTGACTTTTTAAATATCTACTGTCTGAATTTTCAAATAAGTAAAAGAACTGCAAGCTGAACTTACTTCCATTGCCATTATAAATATATACACAGGAGTACGTTCCCACAGGCTAAAATAATCACAATCTATTTGCAAAAATAATGAGGTGCACTTTTTATTTTATGTCTTAATCAACATTACAAATACAAAAGGAAAAAAGTCAGAAACAACTCATCACAGAGAAAAAAAATCATCATTCAGAAGAGATTAATCTGAACTTCAACATTCTTTGTGCTCATTTTAAAATTATTAAAACAGGAATTCAAAAGGACAAGCAAATAAAAACCAAGTATTTTATTAATTAAAATTGAGACCCTAAACCAACTTAAAGACCATACAACTTAAAAATAAGCTGTCTTCATCCTAGAAAAGTTTCATTTGCCATCATATAATGAATATGTAGGAACTTACTAATGGGTAAGTAAACAAATTTTCTTTTACAAACAAGTTATTTTGAGTGATAGAAATCCTCCTAGTGACTAGATTTTTTTTTAATGACTAAAAACGCCTATTTAGATAGTCCATGTATCCATAGAGTTGGGCACTAAATGACACAGTGGACATTTAAAGTTGAAACTCCTTGTCTACCAAATATTTTCCTAAAACTGTTTTTAAGCATAAACATTAACTTAAAAGGTCAACTCTTAATTGTCTACAACAAAAGACAGCTTTGGTACTAATAAATTCAAATTAGGGAATCAGTTTTTTAAAATGTAGAATTACAGAGTATTTTTGGAATTAAATTGGAACTTGAGTAAATATGAAAATGTGAAAGTCCCGCTTTTCTGTTATGCACTCATGAGGAATGAACAGCCTAACTATACTGGATTATTGACATAAATAAAGCACCACTGTAAAATCTCTTCCTAAAAGATTGCTGGGTCACACCTAGCAATTTAGGGCAAAAAGTCAATAAAAAATTAAGGTACTTTATTTTTTAAAGCCTCATTTCCCTTTTGATAGGAGCATCAAGATACTAAAATAAAAATAATGGAGTAAGTACTTTCAAAATATAACAATTTTAGTTATCCCATATAATAGGGGGCTAACAAGAAAACAAAAAAATAAATAAAAAGAGAAAATTTAAAAATAAGTAAAAAATAAAAAAGTATTTTTAAAAAGCAGCCTGGGCAAAAGAAGTGGGTGGGTTTAGGAGAATCCCTTTTGAAAAACTCAGAGCATTATTATTAACCCTTCTTAAATTAAATGCAGGGCCAAGCATGCTGCATGTGGAATCTGGACAATTCGTTGATAAACTTTAAGGTTGCTAAATAACTTACAGAAACTATGAATGCATTTTCATTTTACGAGGCAAAACAGAAAATATTCAAGATTGCATAGCAATTTTATTTTTTCAAATGGTTATCCTAAAGAATTTCCTTAATTCAGATTTTGCAAAATTCTTACTCTCCAAGTCATCAAGTAAACACTAAAAGCAACTTTACTCGTGAATACAGTGGACTCTTTACGAAGCATGCATTTTTCATAAATCTAGGCCAAAGTGTACTAATTGAGATTTAATTCTAAATTCATCCTGTGATTTCTGGATATAATATTGGTAGAAAACCAGTAAAAATACTTAAAAAAAAAAAAGTGTTTACTTCCCGAATAATTTAGTTTTGGAAATATTTATATTCTTAGTCAAAATATTAAGAGTCTAAAGGTTTTAAAAACAAAATTGGTTCAACAATTATCAAAATGAAATGACTATAAACACTGACTAAAACTTCTTAACCCACAGAAGTAAACCACTTCAGGTGAGTTCCGCTCACTTAATTCTCTTTTTTTTTTTTTTTTTTTTGAGACAGAGTCTGGCTGTTGCCGAGACTGGAGTGCAGTGGCGAGATCTCGGCTCACTGCAAGCTCCGCCTCCTGGGTTCACGCTATTCTCCTACCTCAGCCTCCCGAGTAGCTGGGACTACACGTGCTCACCACCACGCCCAGCTAATTTTTTGTATTTTTAGTAGAGACGGGGTTTCACCGTGTTAGCCAGGATGGTCTCGATCTCCTGACCACGTGATCCGCCCACCTTGGCCTCCGAAAGTGCTGGGATTACAGGTGTCAGCCACCGCGCCCGGCCTCAGCTCACTTAATTTTTAAAACCCATTTCTCTTCTCCAGCTTCACAACTGGATTGAACATTGCTCAACTGCTCAACAACATTACCTACGTCAAAAGTGAAAAAGATAAAAAGTATTGTAAAGATTGCACAGTGAGTGAATCTGGGAAGAATATACTGTATAATCAACATTTCAGAGCTGAAAGGGATATTTAAGATCCAATTCAGCACCCACATTTTACAGATGAGAGAACCAAGCCCAAACACATCAAATAACTTGACCAAAGTCACATTCCTCAGCTGAGCCATTCATTCATTCAGTCATTCATTTACCCACTTACTGAAAGCGGCACTTAAGTGCCAGGCTCGGTGCTAGAGACGGAAAGCAGCATTCACAACTGCCAAGGCAGTCTTTTTTCCTTGCATTTTAAAGATAAATTCTTACATTTCCTGATCAGCAGAATTCGTAGGAGAGTTCCACAGCCTTGGCAGAACCTAGCCCACTTTCAGTTTCACACATTTTAATAAACATAGTTGGGTTTAACTTCAGAGAGGCCTCAATTGTGTTTACTTTAAATGATTAAGCATTAACAAAGGGAGGCATAGTATTCGGAATGAGTCCCTTTCTAGTACATTCATAACTTAAGGAAGTGCAATCAGAAAATGCCCTGCACACACAAACACGTTCACAGAGAGGACAGCTTACAAATCAAGAGGAATCTGAGGTATTAATATATAGATCAGTGAAGTCCAATAGCTCAAGTTTACAAAGTATGGAATGTAAATATCTCCCCATTTCATTTAGATATGGGTACGTCTGCATGTTAAAAAGGCCTCCAAACTCACACTCAAACAAATGCCCTCTTCCAATTACACGTATCTCTAAAACCAGGCCTTTTGCATTAAGCTCAATTTTCTTTCTTTTTGATTAGAAAAAAAAATTTAAAAATAAAATCTAAAATTTAATGTGCTGGCTGAAAAAGAAATTCAAATTCTATGTAATGAAAATAGCAATAGCTCCAACTGCACATTCGTGAGTTTTGTTAAAAAATGGGATGTGCGGTGAACTTACCCATCAACATAAATCATACCTCATTTTACTTGGACCTTTACATTCTTTAATATTAAGTCTGGCACTTATATGTCTTGTGTGTTTCAATTCACAGTCAACTTCTTTTAAGAAGAGACCATATTGACAAAGCTCTTATATAAAACAACTCATATAAGTAAGGCACTGTGAAATATTAAACAGCAGCACTCTGGGTACCCAGTTTCAGTGTGGTATACCAAAATGAACCCCAGCTTTCCAGTGCTCCACAGACGACTGCTAGGTGGCTTTTGATAAAATAAAATACAATCTTCACTGAGGCCCTTCAGGCTCTTTGACTTTCTTGACGCTATTGTCAGCTCATGACGAAAGTGCTGTTGTGCTCTATTTCTCAAAACTCCAAATTTGATTTTTATCTAGAGCATCACAAGTTCTCATTTGTACATCAGGTCGGCCCTCCGGGGTCCGATAAGCACTAAGACACAGTCCTGAGTGTGGGTGAAAAATAGTTCCATCTTCTTTAAAATGCCAAATAATGTTTGCTGGTACAAGGAACCCATCTTTGGGACAATTTTGCATTCCTACATAATTTTTTTGCTCAGGAACCTCTGCACATAACTCTGTCACAGAATTAAACCTTATTTCTTTGTTTGAAGTATATTCAAAGAATTGATTGCCTCCTTGACCATGGCATCCAAACAGTGAAAGGTTAGCACCTGTGGGGTTGTTGTCAGGAGAATTATAATCTAAACATTCAGAAGAGATTCCTCTACTGCGAATAGCCCCATGCCAGCCTGGCCTATCCTCTGGAACATGTAAATTAGGAAACACGTTTTTCAAATACCAGTCAAAGCTCTTGCATCTCAGCTGCTCTCGTAGTAATTTTCTTTCAGAAATATCACCATAAGCTTCTTTTCTTGCTGGAGGGTTTCTATTGTAGAAGTGCTCTTTGTACTCATCCATCCAAACTTCTGCTGCCCGAGCAGTATTCTGTAGGAAATTGGGGCGAGCATACGGTGCCCGCTTGGGGAACACATGGCCCACGTGGGAACACGGGTGGATCTCCAATTTGCCACCACACTGCCACACCCTAAAAGACAGCTCAAGGTTTTCACCTCCCCACACTTCCATTCCTGTGTCATATGTTCCAAGGTACTGAAAATATTTCTTGCTGACAGCAAACAGTCCTCCAGCCATGGTGGGTGATCTGATGGGGTCAATTCTTGATATCCGCCTGTCCCTTTCGTGTTTGGGGACAGAATGCCACTGAAATGTTAAACGCCAGTCAAACCCACCAATCATGGGCTCCCCTGTCTGCATATAGAATTCAAAAGTATTCCAATCAATTGTGTCTATAACAGGACACACAATTGCTGTTTCATCTCTCCCAATCCTTTCCAAAAGCGGTTCCAGCCAACCGGAATTACACTCACAGTGACAATCCAGGAAAGTGAGGACGTCCCCAGTGGCGAAAGTGGCCCCAATCAGACGGGCCCTAACCAGCCCCTCTCGCTTATTGGTCCTAATCAAGCGTACTCTATCAAGATTGCTGATGTAAGTTTCAAGTTGCGTCTTCAAATAAACTCTGTCACTCAAGTCATCCACCAAGATGATCTCTTTCAAAAGGACCGCAGGAGAAGTTTCTAAAACACTGTGAATAGTACGGAGCAAAGTCGACCAGGCTTCATTATAGAAAGCAATGATAACAGAGGTGGTAGGAAGTGTCCTATAGTTGAATTTCTGGGACTTACACTCATACATTCTTTTATCCTCTATGTGTCGATGCAGGGAAATTCTGTCACTGAGGTAAATATTGATGGCATATCTCTCAATGAGTTCTTCTTGCTGCTTCAGTTCACCCTCGTTGAGTTGGAGTTTGCTGGCTTTCCCCCACTCCCCAGGTGCATGGGAATCTGCAGGGGGCTTCTTATAAAGCGGTCGAGACAAATCCTCTGTATTTTTCTGGAGGTCTGAGAGCCTTCTTGACCCCAGCTCCCTGGCACGGCCGGCTCCTGCGGAGGCATGAAAAGTGGAGACCAAGAGCTCCACGAAGATATAGGCCACTGTTAAAAACGCCAGCAGCAGGCAGCTCTTGCCTGCCCAAGTCCACCTCACCGCCATCCGGATTCTCAGGGCTGGGGCGCAGACGCAGCCACCCAGCCACCATGCAGGGGAAGGGCGGCGGAACCCACAGCTCGAGCTCAGGTACTTCCCGGCAGGTTCTTCCTTTCATGCAGGCGCTGGGCTTCTTTCCAGCCACCCGGGCTTTCCAGGGGTCACCTGAGCCCTCTCGGTCCTCGGCCTCTGGCACGGCCCAACTCTTCTCTCCCCACTTCCTCCTGCTCGGCTCACAACTTTTCACGAACTCTCCAGCCAACACCCCACCCTCCCCGGGCCCAGGACAAACCCCTCCCCTACCCACTCACTCCTCCTGGTGGTTAGTTTGCGAAAGTCGTCCGCCAGGCCTAGACTGCTGGATACGAGACTCTTGGCCGGGCCGGGGGCCGGGATGGCCGAGGGGGCCCCAGCTGCGCCCCGCCGCGCTGGGCCCTCGTCTCCGGGTGCTCTCAACCCCCATACAGGCCCCTAGCCGTTCTTCTAGGGACCCTGCCCGGACAGGAGGAAAGGTTTCCGGCCCGGGGAGCTTTTGTCTCATTACAAAAGCAAAACAAGAATAAGACTTACCGAGTTGCTTGCCGTTGGGGCTGAAGTCCAAGGAGGTGATCGCAGCTTTGTGGCCTTTGAAATAACGCTCCAGAACGGGGTCCTCCTGGAAAGGAAAGTTGTCAAGTTTTGAAAGCCGCCGCAGACCTCGAATTTTGGGGGCAGTGATCGACGCTGCCACTCCCCCGGAGTCCGGCCTGGGAATGGCCACCCAGGCGGCGGCTTGGCTGGGCGACGGGGCCGGGCAGCAGCCCACCCATGGGCGCGGCGCCCAGTCCGGCTACAGGGAGACGCCGGCGCCAGCTCTCCCCGCAGGGCCGGCAAAACGCTCTGTTCGCGCTCCCCAGAGCCAGCGCATCTTAGGAGCCGCGGCCCCTTTGACATGCAGGTTCCCGGGCCCCGCCCGCTGGCACAGGGCAGGCAGGTACTAGGATGCGCCTCGGCTTTGGTACTTTTTTTTTTTTTTTTTTTTTTTTAAATACTTCCCAGGTGATTCTGACGTAGGCGCTCCACGGAAACCCTCCAAGAATTCTGGGGGCCGTGGGACTGCCCGGCTCAGTCCGGAGCTCCGCAATTCGGGGAAGAGCGCCCGGGAGCTGGGTCTGGTTTCTGCACTCCGTCCGTCCCGGTGGCAGAGAGTGAGATACGGACGCCCCGGGACGAGGGGCTCAGGACCCGGCTGCGGACACCTGCCTCCATCTCCCGCCAGGTGCGGGTTCGGCCCGGACCTGGCTCCGCAGCCGGCGGGGCAGGCTCCGGGGAGGGATCCCCCAGCACTTCCAACCTGTTCTTACCGTGGCTGAGGCCATCGGGGGGTAGTGGTCGGCCCCAGGCTCCTGCGGGTGGGGGAACCCGGGGAGGGGAGGGGAGGGAATGGGGCAGGAGAGGGGACCGTGCGGCTCCCGGAACCGTCTGCCCAGAGCGGCAGCGCCTCCCGGTCACTACAACAACGGCGGCCCAGTCAAACCCCGCGCTCCAGGCATGGCTAGCCGAGCCCCGAGACACCGCCAGCCCTGTAAAGAGCGGACGGGAGGGATGCTCCGGTTCAGCTGTGGCTACACACCAAAGCCATGTTTACTAACACTCGTGTTTCCTGTGGTTTGACGTCAGGAAGTGGGATAGTAACCAGGACGGGAATAAGAGCGATGAATGGAAGGGAGTTGTGAGCCTGTGATCGATGCAATCAGAGTTCTATTATGTTTTAAAGAGACAGCACCCGTGACGCTTAAGGTGATCCCCTACCGCTTATTTTGTTGACGTAAAGCTTTGAAGTGGGGCAGCTTGCTAGTTATTAATATACTAAAAGGAACTAAATCCCCGGAGGGCGGATTTGAATTTATTTAACCACTGTTTTCCACACAGTGCGCTGCGGGATATTGATATAGATGCGGATGTGCGTGATGAATGAATGAGAGAATGAATGAATAAATGTCGTGCATACACTTAATAATGTTCTGCGATATGTTTCCAATCTCATTTGCTGATTTGCGTATACCTTAGAGCACTAAACTTACACAGCTGGATACTTAAAGTCTTTAGGAAGACTTGGAAACATGGTTTTGGTTTGTTGGTTTTTTTGTTGTTATGAGACCACCTTTCTACAGCAGACTTTGTCACACATAGTATCATTTGTGCTTCAGTCAAACAATGTAGTTGGTAGAATTACCAAATGTTTTCAATGTTTCCAAGTTATAAACTTGATTCCTAGATATTGGTCTTAGAGGTTACACAGGCAGTTCTTCTAATTCCAAGTCCATATCCTTTTTTTTTTTTTTTTTTTTTAACCCTGCCTCAAAGTGTGTTCTGAGCTGAAAATTACATACAGTGTAAAGATCCTTAGCTACATCAAAAGGCATGATAGAGCACAGCTGGTAAGATATGTGTTTTATGCAAATGAAAGGTATGCTACACACCTTAATTACAGATTCCCTAGTTGTCTAGTGATTGAGTTTAATTTTATTGAATATGGTACTTAACAACTAAACAAGTAGCTTTAGATTACAGTGTTAGTTAATTTAAGTATACATTTGTTAAATATCTGTTGTATGTTTGGCCTTGAGGGACACAATGATGACTAAGATATTTCCCCTACCTTCAAGAACTCACCAATCTAGGGTTGATGGGTCTCATGCTTTACCATTTCTAATGTTGATTTGGGGGCCCCATTTCCAGAGATGCTGAATCAACATATACAAGGTGGGATCCAGGGCCCTTCTGATGTAACAAGCTCCACAGATGATTACTATGGGAGTCTCAGCTGTCTATGTTGAGAAACACTACATTAGTCTAGGAGATAATATGTTAAGAGTGTTGATACCAGCAACTTGTCAGCAAACTGTTGCAGGACTCTTAGTTTTGCTACATATTCCCAGTTTAGGCTTGACTTATTTTAAAAGCCTGCCAAATATATTTAAAAATTATTTTTAAATAATGCTGGATACTGGTGGGAATGTAAAATGATGTAGCTCTGTTAAAAAAATTTTCAGTTCCTCAAAAACTTAAACCTAAAATTACCTTATAATCCAGCAATCTCACTGCTAGGTATATCCCATAAGTATTGAAAGCAGAGACTCCAACAGATGCCAGTGTTCAAAGCAAGCATTATTTACAATAGCCAAAAAGTGGATACAATCCAAGTATCCAACAGATGAATGGATAAACAAAATGTGTGTGATATATACATATAAGGAAATATTATCCTGCCATAAAAAGAAATGAAATTCTGATACAAGCTACAACATGGATGAACCTTGAAAACATTTTGCTAAGTGAATAAGCCAAATACAAAGGAGCATATTGTATGATTCCACTCATATGAGGTACCTAGAATAGGTGAATTCGTAAGAACAGAAAGTAGAATAGAGGTTACTAGGGCTGGGGGTAAGGGAGACTGGGGAGTTACTGTTGAATGGGTGCAGAGTTTCTGTTTGGGATGATGAAGTTCTGGAAATAGATGGTGGTGATGTTTGCACAACATTGTGAATGTACTTAATGCCAGTGAATTGTACACCTAAAAATAGGTAAAGTGGTAAATTTCATTACAGGTTTTTCACCACAATAATAAAATAATAATACCAGAAGCTGAAGAGTAATCAGGACCTCAGGATTACTCATAGACATGTTGTATCTAATATTGGGCAGAGCAGAAGCAGAAAAAGGAAGAAGTTGGAGATTTAGAAACTAGCTCAAAAGAAAAAAAAGTATAGATTTTTATCTGTTTTAGTAAAAGTTTAGTTTTTACTTTTTTCTCAATTATCAGGAAACACATGTTTTAAATTTAAAAGATGGGAGGGAAACTACCTATTACTCCTATCACCTAACGTTTATCTTAAAAAATTTGTCACCTACTGATATGGTTTGGATTTGTGTCCCCAACGAAATCTCACGTAGGAGTGTAATCCCCAGTGTTGGAAGAGGGGCCTGGTGGGAGGTGATTGGATCACGGGGGTGGATTTCCCCCTTGCTGTTCTGAGTGAGTTATCATGAGATCTGGTTGTTTAAAAGTGTGTAGCACTTCCCCCTTTGCTCTTTTCCTCCTGCTCCAGCCATGTAGGATGTGCCTGCTTCCCCTTTGCCGTCCACCATGATTTTAAGTTTCCTGAGGCCTCCCAAGCTATACTTCCTGTACAGCCTGCAGAACCATGAACCAATTAAACCTCTTTGCTTTGTAAATTACCTAGTCTCAGGTAGTTCTTTATAGCAACGTGAGAATGGACTAATATACCTACCTATGTTTTCACTACATGCTAGGACTTTTCTAAGTACCTTACAGATTTTGACATTTAGTGATCATAACCATCTTATTAGAGATGTGCTATTATTACCATTTTCGTTTTATAGATGAGTAAATTGATATGCAGAGACATTAAGTTACTTGCCCAAGGCACACTGCTAGCTAGAAAGTGGCAGAGTTGAGATTTTTAGACACTCGCAGTGTGCCTTCAGAATCCACTCTCTTAATCACTGTCATGACTTTTGTGTGATTGCAAGTATATTATAAATGTATAAAACATTGCATTTTTGCCAAGATTTTAATAATAAGTTTTACAAAATGAAAGTAATATCTCCTTTATTTTCATTCCACTGTCCTCACTTATTACTCTAAACTGCCCTTCCCATTGTTCTTTTCCATAGTTGATTTTGTTCTTTTCTGCTTTTCTTCACTTTTGCACATAGTGAAAGCTCAGAGGTAGAAATTTGGAAATGTGGTCTAAGTTGGGGAAATTTTTTCTAACCTCAAGCCTAATTCCACTTGCTACAATGATTATTTAGACCTCTCTGGATTGCAACCTAATCATTTATATGAGTGGGAGCCACAAGCAGGATCAGTATTTTAAAACCTACAAGGTTTTACTGCAGGCCAGGTACTAAGTAGGACAAACCGACCTCTAATTAGCCCTTCTTTTCCAGTTTCCCCAAAACAGAAATTGAATTTATTTACTTGGGCATTATAAAGAGTTGTTTTTATTTTAGCACTGGTTCTTCCTTGGTCTACAAATTTGGAAATTCAGCGTAGTACAAAAGTGCCATCTACTGTTCACCTTACTATATAGCACTTGGAGTGAACATACTTTGAGCCTGTTTACAGGCAGCGGAACTCCCTTATTGATACACTTCCTCCAAAGTATAGGAGAGCACATGGAAAAGTACAAGATGGGTTTGAATCAATAATGCATTACATTTTTGAAAACTGCATGATTCATTTAAGTCAACATTCAGTCTCCAAGTCCTATCAACTACATCCTCAGCATATATATATACGATGGGCTGCCTAGACTGGCCTTGAACTCCTGAGCTCAAGTGATCCTCCTGCAGCAGCCTCCCAGGTAGCTGGGATTACAGGCATGCTCCTCACCATATATTTTATCTTCCTATCTTTCTGTCCAATGGCTCCTGTCACTCCACAGACCCTGCCTTCTGCCTTCTAGAATATTTCAGTAACACCAACTTGCTTTCTGACTTCAAAATTTCTCCCCTCCACCTGTCCACCCTGCATTTACCAAGAAATAACATAAGATTCACCAGGGTAGCTTGCTAAAAGTAAAGATTTTTAGTCCTCACCCCAGAGGTTTTCATTTAGAAGGTCTAGTGTGAATACTAGAAATCTATTTTCAAACAAGCTTTCTAGGTGATTATAATATGCATCAACATTTGGGAACCACTGGCATATCATGCCATAGATCTTCTTTAAAATGCATTTTTAGTTCACTTTTAAATGCCTCAAACCAAGTCCTATTTTATATCTAACCACTCATCTCCCCTGGGCCAGTCCTTAAGCCACTGCAGTTAACTACACCCTTTGGAGCCTTTGCTAGAGCTGTTTCTGTACGCGTGAATGCCTGTGCTACTGTCTTGCTCCAACTTATACACAAAGAAATGTATCTCAGGGAAGATATGTTTATGTAAAATCTTCTTTCTCTGAACCTATTCCTCCTTATAAAAATACAACTTACTATTTTTCCTCTGGGTCCTGATGGTATGCAACTTAGAGTTCTACTTAGCACTATTTTATGTTGCTGCATTTACATCCACATTATGTTTCTTTGTCTACCAGCACTTACTATAGTGAAAGGTCAGTAAAGATAAGAACTGTGTTCTACTCATTTTAGTATCACTCTATAGGCAGCACAATCTGTGACACATAGTAGAGGCATAATAAATATTTTCTGCATTGATTGAAAGCTGACATTGTGGCTGGTCAGCTCTATATTTACTGAAAAAGTCTACAAAATAAATAGAAAACATGATCATTGTCC